CAGGAGAACGATTAGGGTTCTCAACCAAAGCCTTTGGTTCAAAAACCTTACCGCAAGGCAGCGGGTTTTGGCACTGGACTACAGAGAGCCCGTTTTATGGAGTAAGGAGCCACCCTCACTCCAACCCCAACCTGGAGGTCCAGGAGACTGAGTTTGTATGGCCTCTAACCATTGGCAAATCTGGTATGAGTGGCTCTGAAGGTGCAAAAAGCATAACTCAGGATAGCTCAACGGATAACTGAGGCCCACAAACCATCGCACCACGTTAAGGCCTAGTCTTGTCGCATAAGAACATGTGCGATCTACTTGATGTATGCACCCAACAGATTGACCCCATTCCACTTCAAAGCTCACCTAACCCCGTTTTATTCTGTTGTAATTGACTAGATGCCTGATAAGATTGTCACTGGCACGATTGGAGCACGCCTAGGAGAACGGCTTGGAAGGCTGGACATTCTAACGCATTTGAGCTGGCGTGATGTCGTTAGCTTAGCCCGGGGTACTCGCTGATGAGATGGGAATGGAGCGAGCGTGAGAAGGATCCTGGCCGCACGTATTCAAACGGACGCTGAGCCCTTGTAACCAACGAGGGTATGTACGCGAGAGGGGATTACGGTAGACGCGCGCTGGTGGCTTAGAAGCGTGACCAACCGATCCCCAACCAAGGCGAGGAGGAAACAAGACAGCTGGTCCTCTGAAGGCACATTTACGACCAACGAAGGGTGGGGACCAGCCGGTGCTATGGGTCATTAAGTTAGTGAAAACTGCTACCGCAACGGGATGGTAGTGTGCAAAAGAACGTTGTCAACAGGGGCGCAATTGGGCCGCGTATCGGATTGTTTGAACACTGCTAAGTTGTGGGAAGGAATTGGACCTCGCTTTCCACAGCCATTATGCCGGAGTTTCTGGCACGTTTCTGCTGGGATATTTGACGGGCCAGCAACATATTCGTGGGACCAACCAATACAATCATTTCACCTGTCCTAATAGTACGCTGTGCACGGTGTTGCAGTCACATTGTACGCCCGTTGTTCTGTGGCGTAGACTGTTGGCCCTCGGGTCGAATTGCTTGCTGTCATAGCCGCTTCGATATGGATGTGTTGTTGTTGAGGCACGCCTAGTTACTGGTTAATCGTAACTTTTCAAATAATGCCGTTGTCCAGTTCCGCTCCTGGTGTTGGTTTGATTCCGGATGAAACACGCCACTTGAGGATACCAAAGGAGACGAAGGTTGGTATATGCATGCATTTCGTATTGTCTCCTCAGTACCATTAACAATAACCGATAAGCATAGATATAGCTAACAGTGGGTGCAACCAGACAAGCTTAAGGTGCAAAACGAATGACGGAAGTTCACACCTACGTCCAAGGCAGCTTTAGGCTGACAACTAATTGTTTCTGAACACACAAGGCTGGCTTAATCCGGCTAATTGCGACAGCCTCAGCAAATCGAAGGAAGCGGGGATTAATGTGACGTAACACAACTTTAAACGCTGAGCCCAGCTCTAATTGGTGTCCCGAGTCTAATAGGTGTTTGCCTATCGAGGAAGCCGGTGGTCTGCGCGAACATGGAATGTGACGAGGGTAAGCAATCTGAGCAACTTCACATTGAACCCATCTTGGCACTTGTTCCTTTATTCGGGAAGTCAGCGTTCTATTGGTTCTGTCTATGTAACTTTTTCCGCCTTCGTCTTCTTTCCGTGCTTTTCAAATTGTGGAAGGGAACTAACTGCTTTAAAGATACCAAAGGAATTTGTTACTAACGCCTTCTGAGCTCCTGATCAAGGCGGCGTCATCCAACCAAAACAATGACAACGGAAAGTTATTCCACTCACGTCCCGACGACGCCTTGATCAACCTTACTCAGCTAGCTGCCAGAACTGTTGGCCACATTCCACGTTATACCCAAGTGGTGACCAGGTAGCAAATTAAGGAATCGCGAGATCTGCTACAAATTCGATTTTCAATGGCCACCAGAAAACACGATTAGCCTACGAAACTTCACTATGCTGCGCAACATCATACCCAAGTCGCACCTCCGCGGAAGTAATACTGAGGTCAGAGTAAATTTCCTAACTATAGACCAATGCACAAGACCTGATGAATAAGGTAATTGAACTTCGGATACGTCAACTATCATAAGCTTGGGATCCCATCCAGATAACTGAAACGTGGCTGCACTCTGAAATTACCGATACCAAAGTAACGATACAGAAGATGTCCCTTGTTCGAATCGATTTCCCCAGTGACGGGTGGGGTACTTCGGTATCACTACAGGGACCTGCATTACTAGCCATTGAGTGACCTGGAGACACTGGACCCAGAACCAGTCCGGTGTCCTCTGCAACTGAGCCAGAGTGGTACACCATAAATGGACTCTTATCTGACCTACACAGTGCGATTGGTCCCATGAATAAGTTATGGCCATGTTCTCACCTCAGGTGACCTCAGTATTCCTACCTCTGAAGTTTCGATGTCCCCAGTGAGCACTTCCAAACAGGCTTACAAGGATTTGTTAAAAACATTCCTCTCTTCAGGCATGTCAGCTCTCCTGCTAGGTCCATATCGGTGAACAATCCATCACTGCTTAGGAATGAAGAGTACGTGAGCAACAAACCAAAGATGGAGAACTAGCTAACACTGAGTGATCACGCCGTCATACTTTATACGTGTTATACGGAGTATCCACAGGAACCCAATGGCTTATTTCGAACAATCACACCACGGAAAACTAACAGACCTTGTTGGAGATGACATTTGGGAGTTTTCGGACGACTGTTCAACTGATACTGACTGTACTGGAGTTCAGTGATCTGAATAAATCCGTATCAGCAAACAGGCCACTTCGTCCTGTAAGCGCACAGTCATTCATTCGGAGCAAAATCCGAAAGCGCGTGGCGATGTGACATGTGTACAAAGCGAACCCTAGCCCGATAACTGGAGCAATAATTGTACCACACTTGCTAACTTTGTATACCAACAGCGGCTAGCGGTAAGGTTCCATGCAAGTAACAAGCTACTGCACAAACAGATGCACAGCATCAGCAGAGTGAATAATGGCAGTGGTTGGCATCTTAATCGAATCCATGATAATCGATATCCTGGAATAGATCTGGTACCGATCTGGAACCCATCATTTCAGAGGAATTGGCAGAGAACCAGTTAATATATTTGTTAGAATACACACCGTTTCGCTTTTGACTCAAAGGCTTCTACAGGGAAGGTGAATGGTTTTGAAATGGAATTACATGTTATATCGATCGTGAGTGAACTACATATAGGGACTAATAAACTTGCAGTTCATTGGTATAAGGGTACAGCGATCATAGGTCAACTAATTCGTGTGTACTCCATGGGTTTGAGTCAAAGTCAAATGGAGAGCAGTAGATACTGGTCAGAGGGTAGTTACAGATATGATCGGCATCTTAAGTGTCCGTTGGAATGAACTTAGTCACTGATGGAACTTGTCTCCGATACCTAGGGATTTGGTGGACGGGTTATTGATAAATCATTCCAAATACGGATCCACCCACCGATGCTTATCAAACTGATCAGAGTAGGACTGAACGCCAGGCACTAGACAGCCCTATTCCGTCTATCCTATCCACGCAGTTCTCAGTCCCGGTTATCACTATAGCCTCGGTAATTAGCTTTCGTTGCGCTGATCGCAATCTCTTCTTGATAACCGACAATTTCGAAGAAAATATGGTGCACTGTGTCCAGCGCATATACTGCTACTGTGGGTTCTCTTAGCAGAACTGTTACTCGAGCTCGTTTCTTGGAAATCGTGATAGGGCTGCCTATGTTCTGAAAGTCCTGGACATGGTTTCCTCGCCATTTCACCTATAACACACCTGCGCACAATCTTTACATGGGACCTTAAATTGCAGTTATTTGTTTAATCTGCGGAAAGGAAGTCCTTGAATGCACAAGCGACCACCGTAGTCTTTGATCCTTTTGGAAAACTATTCTTATATTCTAGCTATCCAGTACTCTCGGAATCGCTTCTGAAGGTCCTTCTTTCTACGGCGGTATGTGAGTGTCTGAATGGGCACAGCGCAAATTGGCACCCACACTGAAATCAATCTATAAAACGATGCAGAACATAAAATTCGTGTCCGGTAACCTTTCCATGCGCTACGAGGTTGTTAATACTTATACTGGAACACACTGTGACGAGGAAACCCGCCCAACATTGTGATACCGCGAACATTCTGACTTTGCTCACCTGGAACTATCACTAATTTCGTCGTTAGCCGCTGCTGTTTGAACTGTTGGAATGACGAGAACCTAGCGCTAATTACTTGTTGTAACAGTTCAATTTCAAATAATCCACATTTTGAACCCAACCATGTTTTCTCATGCAACGTAGTCTCCGACCAAACAAACAGTGCTCAGCAAGGCTAGTTGATATGCTTGGCTTGGTTTGTCTCTCTTTAAACTGGGCACCGCGGTGAGCAACCTGTCCATTCACTTCTGTAATTCACGGAATGTACACAGCTGATCCTTCTACCGCCAGTCTGCTGTGCAAGCTAAAAACCGCTAAAGCGGCGAATACTGACCTAGTCCGCCTAAAGATAATGTGAGATCAATCATTGTGAGGTGAACCGAGACGCGTCGATAGCAGAGGGAATAGCTTCAGATACCAAAGATGTTTACCCAACATGCACTCGATGTTCATACATGGAATGGCACGACTGCTGCATTACGTCATGTATAGTATACTGCCACAGGACATCAAGGGTGGAGATGACGGCGCTCTCGACCATACCGTCTACACGACAACGGTAACAGTAAGAGAATGTAAACGCAAACTCGAATAGATCGGCTATTTACTTACTCAGACCAAGCGATGCCAAAAGCAGGCACGGAGTAGTGTGACGGTTGGAGCTGAGGATTGCTTCAATTGCAATCGTGCGCAGATTAACCGCAACATCCGACCTCTTCAGTTCAGAACCACAAAGGCTAGTGGGAAAATTGTAGGTTAAAGTACAGGTTGCGTGTTCAAAGTCTGCAAAACCGTAACTTTCCGGAACCGTATAACGATTCGTCCATACATACCTTTGTTACAATGTAAGAACACAATTGACAATCTGGAGAACTCAGTTGTACAAAGGTAGTTGTAATTGCAAAGACGGACACTGTCAATCTTCAAAGCCATTCGGCACCTCAGAGCAAGCTGCATCGGTTGTTGGGAGGAGTTTTACTCAGCTCCACAGACAACGTATAACACTGCCCATGACGAGCATTCAGCAGCTGACGAAGCAAATCTTCCAGAACACCTAAAGTGTCACATGGCTCCTGAAAAAAGTCCTGCTCTTCGACCTTCTTGATTTCCTGCACAACTTCGGCGATGCACTTGTCCAATGTAGAGGCGGATATCTGATGAAAAGGAATGCGTTCAAAAGTGCGGATAACAGAGAACCGTTTGGCGATCAGCTGATCGTGGAGCAATGCGCTCGCCAACACCTGAGCGTGCTTGATGCGCATTGGGCATCGGCATCCAGAAGGACCTTCGTGAGCTGCCGGCTTGAATCCATACATTGCAATCTGCCTCCCGCAACACTGACACCGGAGTGTGAATATCATTGGATTTTCCAGGGGCCAGTTATGGCGACATGCTATACACTGGCAATCAATGCCATACCGCTTGCGTAATTTGTTGCGTCGCTCCTGTTTCGGAGTGCTGTCATACCTGTTGCCGAGGCTCAGTGTAATCTCCGTTCCGGCTTTAATCGTCCTGCGTGCAAATAAACCTTCACCGATCCCATCCATTGTAATGATGACGCTGTTCTGGTGACAAGAGTTTGAGACCAAAGTTAACATAGAATATATTCCGCCGGCTACTGAACCGATTTCAATTCGATCCCAGTCGGTTCCAGGTGAGCTCGCCTCCGAATATTGCTCCTCGTACCATATGTTTGTCCTGCCGTGGGCTGAACATGGAACTGATTGCAGGTGATATAACAGACAAGCAGCAGCCCAAGATGCCGGGAGTGTGGAGCGATTGGCGTCTGTGTGAGCCATTGCGGGATTCAACATAGGATCATCCTGCCAATCCAGTGGGTAGCCACCAGCCTGCGATAATAGAAAATAGGCAAAAAGCTTCCGATATGGCTAAGTAGAGAGAAACGCTAATCGACCAACATGATCAAGTGAATCAGCTCTATTCTAAACATTACTCTTTGGATTTCAGCGAACTCTGTGAATGTGGCATTGGACGCGATAATTCCAGTGTCACCAAGATCTCCTTACCCTCTTGGACTTATTCGCAATACATCCGGAATATGTAGACAGCATACGGTCGCATCGAGATGGTGAATGTGCGTGTGTGTGACACCCGAGTACATCAACTTAGATCGACAGTTGGATGGTGAACGCAAACTGGAGCTTCCGGTCAACCAGTGCACGTGCAATCGGACTGCAAACATGAACCTGCCTCTGTCGGAAAAGGTCGACGTGATCGAATCGTCATTCAGTTAAACAACTGGTTGCATACGCATCGCTGGTTGAATGATTTAAAAACTAGATAGACGAGAACGCAACCCAACGTAGAAATCACTGTGCGCAAGTCATATCCACATACCAATCTCATGAGTAACACTAATGTCGGTAGTGAGAGAAGCGTCCAGCAATGGGTGAGAATGCTCTTTCAGAGATGAGAACAAATCTGGAGGAATAATCTTACGGAGAGGCAATGGGCCAGGAATACTGCAGCCACTGTTCGTTGCCACAAGTCTTCCGCAGAACGCGTTTGGTATCCAGCACGTCTCCAACTCACGGACTCATATGTTCCCATCTGAATACCAGCAGCTGACATGGTCTCCTGGCCAGAAAATGCGAACAGGGAAGATGATCGTTTCGCTCGACATCCCGATTGTGTAGGATTGTGGATTTCTTCATTTGGCAGGTCCTGTAACACAACGATAGGTCATAATTATTGTAACAAGAGGAAATACATTATCTTTGGCCAAAATGTAGCTGTAGGCATCGAGGAAGCTTCTTATCAAGCTGGTGCAACTTGTGGGAATGTGATCTTACGTGCGAGAAGACATATCGATCGGTAGCAGTGAAAGACACTGTAGTTGAGGGGCAGAGATGTAACCAGTTACTTCCACATGCACGGAAAATGACAGGAGTGGAATTCAAGAATCATTGTACGCAACACACCTTCACCAATCTCCAAATGGTACGCCAGTGAGTGCGAGCGACACACGCGAATGCCAACAATACATCGCGAATATTCAGGGCATCGGATTGGATAGGATCAACCTTGCGCAACCACTTGCGATAGCGCTGTAGCGTCGCGGAAGCCGTTGCGGCGCTGTCGATCGACTTGAGCCACTGCAAACCGCCCACGTCGGTCAGCATGATTCGCTTACGTTGCCCACACTCGAATCGGTGGAACTGATCGAGCTCCGGCCTGTTCACCATTTCTCCAGGTGATTCGGCTTGCCCCGAGTGCCAATCCATTGTCCATGTCGCCTGTTCGCATTCGGAGGAGCAGAAGCCAACCTGTGTGGGGTATGATGCAGATCATCAGTGCACACGAAGCATCGTACGCACGTTTCCAGCTCAAGGTTCTAACCAATACCTCAGTAAGCAAAGTAACGAAAAGTCATGCGTCAAGGATATACAAACGAGAGTACGGTAGAGTGTATTCGTCAATTATCTCCTCTCTGGCGCTCAATTCAAGCAGTGGACATCAATGTTCCCGTTTTCCCTTCACTTCAAGAATTACCCAAAAATATTGCAATGTGAGTGCTTTGTTTGTTGAATATCCAAATATGCCTACTGTGTTTCTATATACACTCGGCATAACGTTAATGTAGTCTAATTTGACAAAATTACAAATTCCTAACGCTGCGGACTGACCGGACTACGTCGAGGAAAAATCAGGCTGAATGATACAGGACGCACATCCCAAGACATGATCTTGGCGTAACTATCCGGATGAACGCGTCTGTTGCGTAGCCAACAAGTGCTAGTCACTGCGATCTCTTTGCTGTTGTCAAGCCAAACTGCGTCACGTCACCTAACGTGTGAATTGGCTTCATTCACTCAACTAATCTGAAAGTGGAACGTGATGAACTACCCATCTACTGAACACGACAAGGAAAAAACGTTCAATAAATCGATGATCACGGGAACAATGATAGTGTATGGCCACTCACCTCGGCACAGCCTCGACATGGAA